CCTTGCCAGGTGATAAGGCCAACTTGATTACTTTGAATAGTGGAGAAGGTGGTTGCTCTGTAGGCTGAGGTTGGGCTACCTAACTTATTCTGGAAATTGAAAATTGAGGAAACAAGCCCTTCTGCATGGTCTTTTGATTCCATTTTGGGGACTGGAATTATATCTATATCATTGCTCAAGTTTTGAGTCATGTAGGAACATGTTATATATTTCTACACATGATATTTGAAACTTATTTATACTTTCTTAGAACTACAAAATCTTCACGCTGGAAGGGACCACAAAGATCCTCTTAAATAGCCATAGACCATAAATTCCTTGAGGTCAAGAGCTTTGCCGGATTTATTTCTGTACCTCCTCCTTCTGATCTCCAAACAGTGCCAGGTGGCCTCAGTAAAACAGTTGTGGATTGAACTGGATTTCTCATTCATATTGCTGTCTGCCCCTTACTCACCTTGTCCAGTCATTGGGAAGGAGTGTGATGGTGAGGACATCATGGGGTTTGCTGTCCTCCACTAGAGCTTTAGTTGCGTTTGGATTTAAGAATGCTGAGTAACTAATAAAAACCAACTCCAAAGCACTCTGCAGATAGAAAGTGCTTCATGTGTAATAAGTAATAATGGTTTCTCAAGACAAGGCACAGCCACAGGAGGAAGTGCTGACCTTGCAGGCTCCAGAATCTGATAGACCTTATAGTGGATGAGTGAATTGGTTGATACTGACTCCTATCAACTTTTATCATCAGCACTTTCACCTCCAAGTCGCTGTATATTCCTCATTATGGGCAAAACTTGCTTTCCTAATCCTTCCAGTTATCATTAGGAGATGGATTGAAGGACCACCATGAAACTTGACGGGCAAGTCTTCCAAGCAAGACTTTAATCCAGCCATTTAACTCAGTGGTTAAATTCAGTTCTTCCTAGATCTCATTCTCTTCCCCACAAGTTATTTCTTTAGAGGAATCAGTATTCACCTCTATTTTAGTTAGAGCACGTGGTGGTAACCTCAAGAGGTGGCAATTGGCACCTTTCTCCAAAGGAGACAGGAAAAACCAGGACCCTCCTGACTTTAAACCATCGTAAAACACCATTTGGCTGTGTCAGAGTGTATTTCTGTTTCCACAGAGAGGCCCTGCTTTTCCTGTTGGGATTTTATGGGCCAGGTGCCCTGCCCTATCTTTGTCCTGTGGTGTGGGTTATCCTGATTCAAAAATTCAGTGAACATATGGGGACTGCCCACCAGTAGCCATGAACCGAGCTTGATGTTTTCACCTGTGTTATCTTACCTTATTAAATATAAAGCAGTGAGTGAGTAGAAGCATAAACAGAGTCTCGCTATTTCTTCTTGGTTACTTTAAAAGCATCCTTCTTCTCAGCCAAGGTGACCCCCTCTAGCTGGGCATTATTCATTAACTCAAGAAATGTTTAGTGAGCACCTGCTATGTTCCAAGAACTCTTCTGGATGGTATTCACTCTTCAGTGAATGGAACAAAGTCCCCCTAGAGCTAATGTTTGAAGATTTGACAGAAGTGTGATGGGGGTGGGGGTGGGGGATGACAAGATTTTGACAGAAGTATGATTAAAAAACAAAACAGAACAAACAAAAAACAGCCCTTTTCTTTTGGCCTTTCCTCCTACTTTTTCTCTTGTCTTCCATTTCTGTTTCTCTGCACAGCCTCAAACTCAGTACCTTTTCCCCTCTCCTCCTGACTTACTCAGTGTCGTGGATTGAATTGTGTCCCCCTAAAATATGTGTCAACTTGGCTAGGCCATGATTCCCAGTATCGTGTGGCTGTCCTCCATTTTGTGATCTGACGTGATTACCCTATGTGTTATAAATCCTAATCTCTGCCCGTGGTTAATGAGGCAAGATAAGGTTATGTGAAAGAGGATTAGGGTGGGATGCAACACTCTTACTCAGGTCACAGCCCTGATCTGATGTAAGGAGTTATCCTGGGGTGTGGCCTGCATCACTTTGTATCTTTCAAGAGATACAAGGAGAGAGAATCGAGCAGAGAGAAGGGGACCTCCTACCACCAAGAAAGAAGAGCTGTGAGCAGAGTGCATCCTTTGGACCTGGGGTCCTGCACTGATAACCTCCTAGATCCTGGGGTAGATTGATGCCAAGACACATGAAGATCTCCATGGAATGCCAGGCCCACAGATGTTGAAAGGAGACAAGGACCTTCCCTCAGAGCTTCCAGAGAGAGAGGAGCCTTCCTCTAGAGCTGGTGCCCTGAATTCAGACTTACACCTCCTAAACTGTGAGAGAATAAGTTTCTGTTTGTTAAAGCCAACCACTTATGGTATTTCTGTTATAGCAGCACTAGATAACTAAGCCACCAAGATGCTTATTCTCTTTTTCATCTCCAATTATTCTTTGTGTTTGCTTCTGCTTTTCATATGGGGATGAAATAGAGGGGGCTTGATGCTGGCTGCACTCCAACTCACCTTCGTCCCCTGGCTCCTCCTTTGCTCCTGCATCACCTCCTGGGGTGGTGGGATGGTAGATGCCCAATGGTGAGTCAGAGAGCCTGGAGGGAAGAGTGGCTGGTGGCCCTGGGCTTTGGGTACCCATCCAGCATCACTCCATTGGCAGGGCTCCCTAAAGGAACAGATGTGGCCCAGATAAACAGTGTCACTGCCCAGGTGCCCCAGCGTATTGTCAGCTCAAAGGTGGTCTTCCTTGATTCTCTCCTTTCTCTTAATTTTTACAATGCACGTAGCCCAGAGCGGGTGCTCAGAAAATTCTAGTTTCATTCCCTTCTCTGAAGTCTCATAACTCTTTATCTGGACCGGATACTTACTATCTAATGTCAGGATTATTGTGCCCATTGCCTCAATTCCCTCGGAGGCCTGACTGTGTCCATGAGTGTTAAAGTATGTTAAGTGAACTGGGTGTGGGGAATACCATTTTCCTCTTGTGGAAGGAAACTAGTTCCTTGTTTTGGGAAGAGGATCTTGGAACCCATTTAAATCTCAGCCCCAGATTTTAGTACTGAAATACAGAGAGCTGGCCTTCATATTTACCAGTTGGTTGGGATTGTACTGTCCCCAGATTTCTACTAAAACCTAAGGTTTGCAGGTGCCTGACCACGCTTGGCCTATTGTCTTCCACCGACAAACTCGATATTTGAGTCCTTAGTAGACACAAGGCAGAGCTTGTGGGAAAGAGCTCTTCTTCTCCAGCCTCATGATCTAGATCTGAAATATTGTGCTTTTCCTCTTCCCTTTGCCCCTGTGCTGGATTCTAGCCCCAGTGTCTCTTTAGTTCCTGCACGGTTAGCAAGATAGCTCACACTCATTGCACACTACCACCGTGCCAGGCACTGGGTAGATTGCTTTCTGTACATCATCTCATTGAATCCTCACAGCCAGTTGGTACAGTAGGTACTGTTGTTATGCATATTGTACAGATGAGGAAACTGAGGCTTAGAGGGGTTTAAGTAACTTGCCCAAAGTCAAACATCTTGTAATGGTGGAGTTGAGTTTGGAAAACGACTCTCTCTGACACCAGCTTTGGATTTCTGGATTATGCCTTCCTTGTGTCCTTTCCTGCCCGTCTCTGCTTACCTTGAGTGATGCGGGTTCTTGTCTGCATGCAGGGACTTGCAGGTGGCTGGAAAGAAAACTCCCTTCTCACCTCTTCCCGCCGTTGGCACCTGTAGCCAGGTCCCTCAGTGCTACTCTTCTGACCTCTCACCAGATTCTGAGTTGGCTCTCAAGGCTCAATTCTCTGACAAGCACCTTCTAATGAGTTCATTGTTTTTCATGGTTTACTTGCTTTTATTACAAGCTAGGGACAGCTTGACATTTGCTTTACCGTCAATGGTCTGTGATGTGCACAGAGCCCGTTTGCTTCAGATCTCTTCACAGCGTTTCTCGGTGCTTAGCAAAGACTCATGACCGTTTGAATTGACGGTGGGTACGTTTTTGCATATCGATCATGATACAATATGCTATAATGAGATTGAGAGTCGTAGCTGAGAATTTGGGAGCAAAACAAGAAAGGAGAGTGAGGTTTGTCACATCTTCTGGTGGATGATGGTGGGAGCTGTGCGAAGAGCAAGCTTAGCCCCCTTGAAATCATCTTGCTCCCTGGTGGCCTACCTTGGCCTGGGACACTTGTGTTATTGGCGCTTAGCATTTTTATATTACTTTATATTTGCACAGTGCTCTCCAGTGATTTATGAGCTGTTCTTGTTTTTAATAGCCCCTGCTGGTAAGCTGATAGTCAGCCTTCTGAGAACCTAAATGCACAGAGAAGTCTCATTTCATCAGATATTCCTGGATCTGGGGTCAGGACTCTGACCTCCTGGGATGAGGCCATTTGGGGTCACTGCCTCATGTGGATTTGTAGGAGATCAAGTGGACTTAACTTCAACTTCCAGAGTCCCTAAGGCCGAGGTGGAATGATGGTGGCTCTTTAAGGAAATGGCATAGGAGCCATTCTCTAAACACCTGGATTCTAGGCCTGGCCGCAGCTAACCAGCTATACCAACTTTGAGCATTTTGCTTATCTACGTCTCAGATTCACCCTCTTGTAAAACAAGGGTTATTGTCAAAGTCTCTTTAGATCCCAAAACCATCACTTCCCATGGTGATTCTGACTCATGGCGACCCCATGCACATCAGAGTAGAACTGTGCTATGTAGGGTTTTCAATGGTTGCTTTTTCAGAAGTAGATCAGCAGGCTTTGTTTCTGAGGTGCCCCTGGATGGACTTGAACCTCCAACCTTTTGGTTAGTAGTTGAGCAAGTTAACTGTTTGTACCACCCAGGGACTCCCCTTTAGATCCAACCTGTATTAAATAGAATTCTATGAAGTTGTATCTCTTCTTTGGAACCCCTTGGGTTTAGCCAATGAATTATATGACAGGGCAGGTGGGTATAGGTTTGAGCCATTGTTCTCATTGTTGGTAGGTGCTGTCGGGTTGGTTCCGACTTGTAGCGACTCATACGGGGGCTTGTCTTACAAAAGTGTTCACCTTCCTTTTTCCAGGGTCCAAGGACTAACTGACAAGGATATGCCTTCACAGTCCTTTAAAAAAGCACACCATCCTCATTCCCTGTAAAACTGAGATGGTGAGTAGAGTTGCAAGAGGCAAGTCGGACTGGAGCCCAGGCCATCAATCCTGTATCTTCTGGGGGTTGTAGAAAGTAATTAGCAGGCTTGATTATCTCACTGGTTGAACACACGTTTTAGGGATGTGATGTAATGCAAGGAAACATTTAGTTGTCAGATTTTAGGGCTGTGTCAAATTTATTCTTGCAGGAAAAGTCTAGTTGTCCTGGCAACCTGCAATTGATTTTCTTTTTGCTCTTGTCAGCTGCAACTGGTCCCCTTTGAATCATTTCTCTAATTTAATAGAGAGAACTGTATGTCCCCACCTGGTGACCAAATCTTTCCTAATGACAGGTAACCCCAGCAAATGGCCCCTTTTTCCTACCTGAGCCAGAAGCTATAGTTTATTACTGGCTTCACCCTGTGTTGTTCTCTTTGTGGTTATTTATTTGTCTGTGGAGTCAGGTGTAGAAGTAAAGTGGCATTCAATTAATTAAGAGCTTAATCAAGCCTGTAGAGCAATGATGTAATTGGCAGCCAATCAGGACCTTTCATTTTCAGCTACTTCCTGCTCAGGGGTGGGATTAGAATGGACTCCAGGAGAGGAAGTCCTTTTGTGGGGGTGCCCAGCATTTCTGTGATCTGGGGAGGGTGGTGGAATGGCCCAGATGACAGAGAGAGGGCAGATCTGTGTGGCTCCTCTCCTGCTCTGTCACCTGTGTTATGGGGAGGTGATCTTTAAACTCGCAAGGGTAGAATCGACTTAAGAAGACATTGACGCCCATGACAGCTGAAAAAGTTGTCAGAGAGCAGTTTGCTCTTTTAAGTGATTGCAAAGCTCCTGGGCCACACAGACTGCATCTCAGGATTCGGAGAAGAACGTGTGGTAGTGGCTGGGAAAGTGCTGCCAGGAATTTTGAGGAAAGCTGGGAATCAGCAGAAATGCCAAAAGTTAGGAGATGAGGAAACAAAGCTCAGTTATCAAAAGCCTGCATCCAGAGTCGAGAATCTGTTGACCTACTGGGATTCTTGGTACGACTTTAGACTGGCTTATTGGACAGGTGACTTATGCATCTTTGAAAGGAAGCAGTGGTCACAAGGAGCCAGAACAAGGCCATTCAGCCATTTCCTTTTTCATTTGGGTTAACCATCTGGTGGATTAGAACGGTACCACAGACCTGGTGTTGGGAGGGCAGGCTCTGGAGTCAGATCATCTGGATTTGAATCCAGGCTCCTCTGCTTGGGAACCACACGACCATAGGCAAGTTGTGCCATTTCTGTGACTCAGCTTCCTCCTCTGTGAAATGGGGCTAATGACCGTTCCACTAGAGGATTCTGTAAAGACTGAATGAAACAATCCTTGAGAAGTGCTTAAAATAACGCATGGCACATACTCAGCATTTGATAAGTGTTGCCCATCGTTACTATCAGTAGGGAGACATTTGAATTTAGTAAAGCTGTTAAAAATCCCTTACATCTTTCTGGATGAGATGGGGAAATGTAAACTGGATTGCGAAAAAGGCAGTAGATGGATTTATGGGTTCATGAACGAATATACATACTTATTAACAACACGGGTGGAGAAAAAGTCCACTTCTTGCTGGGAGCAGCTACAAGGCACAATGCCAGGGTGAGGACACAGGGAGGGGAAGAGTTTGTGACCATGTTGGCCCCTTACCACACCCACACCCCCATCCCTCTCTCTTACAAGAAGCAACTAACCATCATTAATGATTTGCTATGTGTCTAGTTTTTTTTCCCCCACATGCTTACATTCCTATAAATGGTTAAAAAAAGACTTCAAAAATTATTTGTCCAAAGTTAACATCTTTTGTTCTTTCGTAAAAGACCGGGACTACCAAAATTGAAATGGTCACTTGGTGCTGCAGTGACACGTTTGACCTATAACCCATCATCTGTATCCCTGTGGGCAGACTGGTACACGAGATGATCTTCCTCCTTCCCTGGGTACTTGGAATGCTTCTTCTTCCTTTGTATCTATCTCCCTTGTGCTTACCTCCCTTGTACTTACCTCCCTTGCGCTTACCATACTTACCTACCTTCCCTTCCCCTCCCTCCCCGCTTCTCCCTACCTCCTCTTCTTCTCTCCCCTTCCCTTCTTTCCCTCCCTCCTTTCCTGTCTACCTTCCCACCTTTCTTTCTTTATTATTTTCTACATCTCTGGTCCTTAGCTTAAAATGGGTCTCAGTGGCCAGGCATTTACATGATGTTATGGGCCTTTGGGGAGTTCCTGGGTGGTATAAATGATTAACGCGCTTGTCTTTGTTAGAGGTTGGAGGTTGGAGTCCAGACAGATGTGCTTTGGAAGAAAGGCCTGGTGAGCTACTTCCAAAAAATCAGCCATTGAAAACCCTGTGGAGCACAGTTCTGCTGTGACACTGTGGGGTCCCCGTGGGTCAGAATCGACTGGATGGCAATGAGTTTGATTTTGGTATCTGTCTCTAGGAGTCGCTGGGTGGGTGTTGCAAATGGTTAATGCACTCAGCCACTAACCAGAAGGTTGCAGGATTGAGTTGACCTAGAGGCACCTTTGAAGAAAAGCCTGATGATCTACGTCTAAAAAAATCAGCCATTGAAAACCCTATGGAGCGCAGTTCCACTCAGACACTCATGGGGTTGCCAGGAGGTGGAGTCCACTGACAGCAACTGGTTTATCTGTTTCTGAGCTGGGCTTCCCAGAGGCAGGCATCTGGGAGTTCTCCTGGAGCCTCGCTCAGTGGCTGGCATCAATAGGTACTCTGTAAATGTTCATAAAATTGAATTTCTAAGGAGGCCTGAGGGGTTGGAAGGTTAACTACAGTTAACCCAAGGAACTAGAAGGCCCTCTGGGGACTGGACTAAGAGTGTGACTTTTCTGAATAACTATCAGCTTTCCCCAGGCACCTTCTTAAACCTTGCTTCTCTAGAGGCAGAGGTAAAGGAGGCATCTGCTTAAGATGCTGGTGGCTCTTCTGTGAAGTTAGGTCATAGTGCCATCTCTCCTAGCTGTGAGCTCTTAGAATAGCAACCTTTTCCTATCAGGGAAGCTTAGCTTTTGGAGGGGAGAAAGTAGTTTACATGATGACTTCTGAATTTGATTATTTACCTTCTTGAAGAAGAATTTGCAATCGCCTCTGTTACAAGGAAGGCTAACTTGCCAAGGTGGTTGGTTGACTCTGACCTGCTTACATGGCTTGCTTGGTAAACCCCACTTCCCACCCTCACTGCTGGGATCTTAACTCTCCTGCTGCTTACGAAACACCTTCTCCTGACAATTGAGACTGCATGGACCACTGAGTGCTGCTTCCCATGACTCATGGGATCAAAGCCTTTTATGTTTAATGCTCAGCAGATAGAGAATACAGTTGGAAAGAGGATGTGTGATGCAGAGAAGAGAGAAAAAGAGCAGACCAGGAGACTTGGCCCTCAGTCTGCCAGAGACACGTTGTGTGATGTGGGGCCTTAGCTTCCAGATCTGTAAAATGGGGATACGAATATAAATTATATAAATTAATGGAGATTATTTAGGCAAAACATCGAGTGGTGTTCCTGACACTGTTTTCAACAACGAGATGTCCCAGTAGAGTTACAGAGACTTGGTTTTGAGCCCTGGCTCCAGTGTTGTTGTTGTGTGCCATCGAGTCAATTCCAACTCACAGTGACCCCATAGGACAGAGTAGAACTGCCTCCTAGGATTCCCAAGGAGCTGCTAGTGGTTTGAACTGCTCACCTTTTGGTTAGCAGCCCGAGCTCTTAACCACTTCACCACCAGAGTTCCACTAGCTGTTTGAATTTGAATGATTTACATAACTTCTGTGAGGCTGAGTTACTAAACCTGTCTGAGCCCTAGTTTAAGTGCCTTTAATTTGGGATTAAATATATCTCCCATGCTAACTTCTAAAGATTAGAGGATGTTTGTAAAAGACTTAGAACAGTGGTAGAGCCTTTCAACATCTGGACCAAAGGGTTTGACACTGACCATCTGTGCCACCACCCCAAAGAACCATCTTCTCTGGGGGTAGTGGATATGCTTAATGGGGTGACCTGCCTTGGCGGTGCTGAACGAAGTTCTGCTCTACAGCCAGATTTTCTTCCTGTATCCTGAACACAAAACCTTTTTCTTCAGAAACCAGACCTGTACACCAGACCCAGTTACGGACATGCTGATTTTACAAAGATAACAAATCGTAGCCTGTCTGGGAACATGCAGCCAGTGTGGGAGTGTGGCTGTGAGTTCAGAGCTTTCATGGAGGAGCTGTTGAAGTGTTTCATCCAGAGAAAGATGGATCTGAGGTGGAGAGTTTGAGACTGCAGACAGAGATGAGCTAGTGCATTCCTAGGGTGAGGATGACCAGCGCCTAACCCAGGGCATTGACAGTGGGGATGGAGAAGAAGATTCAGGAGGGGAGCCAGGCAAAAGAAATAGGGTGGAACCAGGAACCCCGAGGCAGAGGTGGAGGTTCAGGAGAGAGGGTGCAAATCCCGGAGAGAACTGCTTAAACTGGGATGTAACAGCGGTGCTTTGCAGGGTAAGAAACCAATGACCAGTTACCGTCTAGTTGATCCCACTCAAGGCAACGCCACGTGTATCAGAGGTAGAACTGTGCTCTGTAGGGTTTTCAGTGTCTGATTTTGCAGAACTAGTTCCCCAGGCCTTTCTTCCGAAGCACCTCTGGGTGGACTGTAACCTCCAGCCTTTTGGTTAGCAGCCTAGCTTGTTAATTCTTTTCACCACGCAGGGTAAGAAAGACAGGGGCATTCTGTTGTCAATTTCCCACAAGGCAAAATGGGGGATGTCCTAGGGGTGTGTGTTTGGGGGGGACATGCAAAGTGTACCCGTGTGCACCAGTATGTGCACGTCACCTGTGCGTGTGTGTATATAGGTAACAGGGCCAAAGAGGTCACAGACTTCCCCAGGACCATACAGCTGGGAACCAGGTTTCATTGTCTTGAAGTGCTAAGTCTAGTAAGGACATTGAGTTACAGGGATGGGCAGGGGAGCAGGTAGGAAGGGGTCTAG